GGGTGTAGCAAGTCTCTAATAGAAAAGTTCTGATGGCAAATGAAGATTTTCGTTTGTACCAGGGCAGCAGCATGTTGGAAGAGGTAGCGAGCGAATATCAGGAGAAGATACGTTTTCAGCGTTAGCGGTCCCTGATTTTGAATGTGGGTGTAGCAAGTCTCTAATAGAAAAGTTCTGATGGCAAATGCAGATTTTCGTTTGTACCAAGGCAGCAGCATGTCGGAAGAGGTAGCGAGCAAATATCAGGAGAAGATGCGTTTTCAGCGTTAGCGTTCCCTTAATTATTTTTTTATAAATCTTCCTTATAATTACAAGATGATTTCCAGCAGATTTTGGACTTGAAAATTAAAAGTAACAAAAATGTATTTATTTTGTAGACAAGCAAAGTTGCCAGTTGTGCAATAAAGTATAGCGTTATCTGAAAATGTATCCTTTCAGAAATAGTACATTAGGATTCAAGAGACGGAAGTTCAAGCAATGACCCAATGTTACTTTCCTATTATTTACGACGGAATATGCGGTTTGTGGTGCCGTGGATGCTATGTAAATTTTAATAGAAATGAAATTACTGCACTTCGCATTTTTTATATTTCTGAACCGACACTTAAAAGTAGCAAACAATCTCTAGATTGTACACTTTCCAACTTCCAAACGCAAAATGCTCAGTTTTGTCTACAAAATTCCCTAACATGCCCAAACGCATTGACACCATGATGCAATTAATTCATTGTACGACAATGAATTTATTGTACGACAATGAATTCATTGTATGATACAATCAATTCATTGTATGAACAGTGTATTTATTGATTGTCATACTAATTCATAAATAATTCATTATTTCGTTTGTCTCAACCCGGTTTCTCAAATGACGCTCTGGCAACACAGCTCGCTAAAACGCTGAAAATCATAGATTTTGTAAAGAATTATTTAGGGTATTTTTCTTTCCAATAAGCCCAAATCAGGTCCCAAACGCAATTTTCAAAGCACTGAGCTATACAATGCTGCAAACCATATCTTCATATAACTTTCCATTTTTGAACTATTGCGTTTTGAATTCAGTGAAAATCTG